CAAGTAAATAGAGGTTGATTGGTCACAACAACTAAACCCTGTTTGCATATATCGTTTGAACTTTAAACCACGCACATGTTTGCTGATAGTGTGTTATCACATGTAGTGTGTTATCACATGTAGATGAGAATTTTCTGAAAGTCTCAGTATATCTATATAAAAGTTATGAAAGTTTTATAAAATCTATCAAAATTGCTCAATTAAAAAAATCTTAAAAAAAATCTCTAAAAATCTCAATTGAATTCTACACATCATATTTTTTCAATTTAAAAATTATTCTCATTAATATGTAACTAAATAAAGAATGACTCATTTTCTAGGTAATTTTTTGGAGAAGAAACAGTTAGTTTTGTTGAGGCGTTGGGCCGATAATAAGATTGGGCTAATCTAGAGCTCAGAGAGCAAACTATGCATAATTGGATTTTTGCAATATGGATCTCATTTTGGTATTCGGCTATGGCTGACTGAAGCATTTGATGAGCGTAAACATGTTTGTTTTCTAGAAATTCCTCGACTGAGTTGCTTCGCTCCATTTATGTGAACGCCTTACGCTCGTCGTTCTGATTTACTTTGAAAAGCTGTGTTCAGATACCATTAGCCAAGTAAAGATGGACGTTAGCAAGGTAGCATTTCGTGTAGCTCAAACGCCCCTTTCGATGAGTGAAGGATTTTTTTGGATTTTTCGAACGATATTTTCGAAATTCTTTACTGAAATCGCAGAAAATCACTGAGGAAGCTAAAATTCGGGAAACGGCAATGTCATCGTTCTTCTGCCGCAGGATATACTCGGAGGTCATTTTAATTTATTTTCTCGTTCAGTCCTTCTGAACAATTTTTTCTTTGTGTGTGTGTGTGTGGATAGCGGTGATTGTATGAGAAAAGGCAGTTTTAAAATGAGTTTATATCATTGAAAAGATTGAAAGCTGCTGCTCTGTAATTCATGGCGACGATTTGTGAGAAAATTGGTCTGTGTGTGCAGGTAGAAGAAATTGGTTGGGAGCACCTGGTGAAATTAAGTGATGATATGACATTTCTGAGTTTTCGCCTCGTGTAAGCAAATTTGTTTGTTAAGATCTTTGTACCAACCGGAGATGAAAATTAATTTATATGTAACTTATGTGTGCGGTCTTTAATGTCAATCTTTGTGTAGTGCGCTTAATATCTAAGGTTGATGGTTTGAGAAAGTTCATGTGAATTTGAAAATAAATGGTTTGAGGAACTATAAGTTACAGTAGATGGCTTCAAAAGTTAACTTAGTTCCTGTTGTAGTAGGTCTTCTGTGGCAATGTGGTGAAACACTTTTCTATTTAGTGTTTCCAAAGAATGTTCATATACATTTTTTTTCAAATTTATTTCTGTGGTAGTGGAATGGGGTTGTGTAGTGTAGTTTTGGGATATGCAACTTTATGCTGCATGCTGCTTAAAGCAGTGCTAACCGAGATCATTATTATTTTGAATTTTTCCAAGCTTGAGTGTTTCTTAAGGAAAAAGTCAAGACTGGAAAATGCAGATGTGACTTGGGAGATGACTATGTAAGGTTTTCAAGCTGCCATGAATCTTTACTACTCGTGCAGGAGTTAATTTTAATATTCTAACTTTCTTGTTAATGCATGATGTAAAAACGATTACCTTCCACTATCCAATCAGTAGTCCACAAAGAATGGAAAATAGAATCTGAAAATATGCATATGTATATTTTTGTCCTTACGAAATGACAGTTATGAATCCTCAACGTTTTACTTGTCTGCGGTACTTGTTCTAGGGACAATGCAGGAAGATCACATGTTCTGGAGATAGAGCTGGACAAGACCTACCCACGGAGTCCGCCTTCAGTTTCAGTGGTTGATTCTTCTCAACACTCAACGTCATGTTTTTTATCTTTTTTTTTTTAAATGCAGGAACATGAGGTCTTTATCTTATTAACAGGACATACCTCATAATTTGGATCTAGAATGGTCGTCAAACTCAAAATTAAGAGATGTTGTTCACCAGTTCCAACAGGTGACACTTGCAGATTTGTATATTTGGTTGAATATTTCTTCCATTTTTTATCTGTATCTTTTTTTTTTTCATCCCTTTTGTTGATGCATAATTTCTTTTGTTTATTTTGATTTTCATTCATGTATCATCAACTGTTCCCAGCATGTCAATCAATTCCAGTACTTCTGGTCCACTATGCATGACATAGATCAGTCTCTTTGGGTAACTGATCCCATACACTCCCATCATGCGATGTCATATCGCCAAATTAAACTTGGTTAGTTCTCTTTCTTGGTTTTCTGACGAATTATTTATTGCTTCTTTCTCATTTTCCTGCTCCTTTTGCTAAACGTTGCTAATTTCGTATTACTATTTTTCTCAAGGAAACGATTGCTTTCTCCAATTGTCTATAGATGTGAATGACCCACTATCTTTACCAGAGTATGTTTCTTTAAATTTAGTTTTACATGGTTTGCACTGTTAAAAAAAAATATGTGAAACCTCTCACAGCTTGGAGTTTCATACTTGTAGGTGTCGTTTTCTGGGTTCAGATTCCACCGTGAACTCTCTGAGGAGTTTATGGATGCGAAATTGTAAAAAATGGTACGCAACAGAACCTATGACTATGTTTTTGTTCTTTTATTTTATTATTTCATTAATTTATTTTTTTATTTTTTAGTGTTTTGGAGTCAATTAGTCAAATATCCACAAGGTCTATATATCATAATGTGAGAATTTCTGGGTAGTAATATCTTTCTCTGGTATTAGTGTTTGTTTATGGTTCTGATATTGTTATCATGTGATAGTATTGCGTTGCTTAGATTTGTAATCAGCATAATGCTACTGAAATTTCAGGATTATTAATTTACAGAAATTTCGATAATCTTGATCATGCTGCCAAAGTCAAAGCCAAAATTCTTACCCTGAAACTCATAGATATATCAATAAGTTTCTACATTTTACTTATTTTTATTTTTTGAGAAAAAACATAGCATACCAAAGCAGAACATAGAATGATGATTCAATCGTAGCTTTTCCAGTCTATTGGTCATTATCGATGACGTGTCATTATATAATACTGTCAGTTCTCAGGATGGTTTTCTCCTCATCTGGACCTTTTTTATTTCATAAAATATAAATCTCATTTTGCAATTATGACCTGGCCACTTAGCTATTGGATCTGCATTGTGATGCTGGTGTCCCCAAGAAGCTTCGCTACTTTCTTGTCTATCCACAACCAAACGATAACTGGTCTCTGTTATGAGGTTCCAACATGTTTATTATTAGCTTTTGCTTGGTCTTTATTTGTCTTTGATCTAATATTTTCATTCTATAGGTCGAAGGACAAATCATTTGCTGAAAATCTTGCATGTATTTTAAACACTCAGTTACCCCTGCCTCCACATCAGCAGAAGAACGAGGAACAGATTGAGTGTGGCATATGTTATGCTCAATTTCTTCCCGTAGGTAAATATATGCCTCTCAGTCCTCTCAATTTATTCCTTTCTACTTTTTTTTTTCTTAAAGGATAATACTCCATATTTCAACTTGTGAAGACTGATAGATGTAAATAGTAAGAGTATTATTGATTATTTATTATTTGATTTGGTGTTTCTTGACCTAGATGATGAACTTGGTGCTAAGAGTGGAAGTGCAACTGATTATAGATGTGAAAACGGGAGTTGCAATCGGGCATTCCATATTGTTTGTATAGTCGACTGGCTCCGCTCAATAACAACAACAAGGCAGTACGTTATGTTCTTCACATCCTTCTATTTTCAAATTCTTGTTTGCGGTCAGACATTAGAAGAAATCAGTTCCAGGTGTAGAAAACAAATGTAGCGCTTATTGTTGGAAGTTTTCTCGGTTATTTTATTATAAAAATATTCAGGTCTGAGTTCACCTTTTTCCTGTTTTCCATGAATTAAGTTCTCCCATAGCCCGATCATACATCTGACGAAGAAAATTAAGGCACGGTGATTTTGTGAATTTCCCATGTCTTAGGTTTAGCTAATTTCATATGAGCTTTTCTGCACAGCACTGATTTATTGATATCTGATCTAGTTTTTTCTGCATTTGCATTTTATTGCAGGTCATTTGATGTCCTTTTTGGGAACTGCCCTTACTGTTCAGATCCAATTGCGGTCAAAATCAGCACAAATAAGTAAATTTTTTACTAAATTTTCTAAAGGAGATCAGTCCCTATAATATAGACCTTTCATAATATTTGAAGAATGCGTTTTAGCCACTTTATCCTTGTAATATTCTAGTAAATTTTGCCTGGCTGTAGGAGTTTTCATTAATAATTTAATGGCACATATCTTCATTAGTCATAACTAGACATATGATGCAATTGAAATATTATATATACTATATATATTTTAATAGGGTAAATAATATTTCGCATCATGTGTTATTCGTGTATTTGGAAATTGCAAACTATAAAATTTTTTATAGTAAATTGCAACCTTTAATACACGAAATGTCTATATTGCAACTTCCGAACATCGGGACACAATTTCCACTGGAAAAGTGGAAAAGTGAGCGTGCGAGATGCACATACCAATCACGAAAAAATTTTCATTGCATTAATCGGATTGCCTAATTATACATATATTCCACATACCTAAGTGAGTATGTGAGACTCAATCCAAGCCAATTAATTAGGGATCAAGATGTATGATTAAGATTTAATCTTTTATTTTATTTATTTAAATTAGTTAAATATTATTCAGACCATTTCACTGTTGATCGTTGATTGTTAACTTCAACCGAAACTTGTTGACTTCTGGCGTTGACCGTTGACCGGTGTATGCATTATGTATGAAGTAAATATGCATTCAGCATTATGCACTTGATATGAACTAAATATATATTTGGTATGAATTGAATATACAATCTTTATGAATTAAATATGCACCAATAATATTAACTAAGTGTACACTGTTTATGAAATAAATATGTACTACGTATGAGCTGAAGGGACATTTTGCATGAACTCAATATGCAGTGAAAAGATGCAATTATATGTTTATTTTATTAAATAATTATTTTTTATTATATAATTAAAGTAGATTTCAATTGATTAATATGAGCATTGTCTACATAAATAAATAACTATGATTGGACATGTGGGACTTCACATGAACTGAATATACACTTTGATGATTTAAATATGCATTTAGCATGAATTAAATATACATAATGAATGAATTAAATATGCATTATGTATATAATTAATTTAAATCTTATAAATATTGTTACACCCCGATTTTCAAAAGGAGAAATTGAAATCTTAAACGGTGTTAACAGAGTTTAAAAAATATTTAGCACTCTTATTTTCAAAAACAAAGGAAATTCTATAATTATTGTTGCGCACTCTGATAAAATAGCTCATAAATAACTTAACAACTTAAACTTCATGATATCAACTCGATAACTTTGTCATATCCTCAAAACTCTAATCATATTCAATATAATAACTCAAAACAACATATCTCGTGTAAACTTGAGACTTTGAATTTCAACTCCCCCACAATCTCAATAATCAACTGTACTCATGAACTTCATATAATAATTAAAGTCGAAAAGAAATCATAATGCGTTCAATAACAAGTTCTTAAATACTCCAAACCATGAGTAAAATTCCAATAAACATAAAAACATACAATAATGCGGAAGATGATCACATAGCATACCACAACCATCATATGTTGCGATTACCTGGAACTTAGTACATAAATCCCCTCCTTAACCGCGGAATGAAATATGAAACGGTCAATGTGCGAGGGTTCCACTCCTCGTAATCTTCATTTAAAATTATTTAAAGTAAATAATTATATTTATTTAAAATAAATGGTCAACTGCTCAACAATTGTTCGGCCAACTCCAAGAAGAAGTACGCTTCAAAATCGGCGATGGGTTCGGAACGTTGGCACGTCACATACGACATCACGAAATGGGGATTCCCATGACCCAAACGCAATTCCCGGGCGAGAGTAGCCATGCGTCCACAGACATGTTTTCTACTTTATTCCAATACTCTCATGAAAACCATTAGAAACAACTAACTGAAATTGTTTGTGGTTCGTCTCTTCCTTTTGGTTTTGCTGATTCTGATTTGTATGAAATTTTTTGCTCAAATGACTTTAAATCCTGTTGCATCTCGAGTTCCACGTACTATTCTCACGGGTAATATTCGAAAAGTTGTGAGCGAGAAAAAACTAATTTTGGCCCAAACTTTTGAAGCTTTATACCAAAGCATTTCTATTTGTTGTGACATCTGGTCCGATTATTGGCAAGATTACATGGGAATTATTTGTCATTGGGTAGATTATAGTTTTACATTACAAAAACGTTTAATTACTTATACTGGATTTCCTAATGCTCACATTGCTTCTAATATCGCTCGTATAATTTCACGTGTCTTGAATAGTTATGGAATTGGTAAAAAAAAACATTTTTTCATTTCTTTTGATAATGATAGTGCTAATACTGTATCTATACCCGAGCTTAAGGAAATTTGTCGTCCCTTTTGTGGGGAATTTTTTTTTATATTCGGTGCATGTGTCATGTCCTTAATCTCTATGTTCTAGCGGGTTATCATGCTTTGAAAGGGACGGTCAAGTCCATTAGGAATGTTGTTACCTGTTTACATCGTCGTCCGCAAGAAATAAAAAAATGGGGACAGTATTGTAGAGAACTAGACTTTACACCTAAAAAATTCCAACCAAACGTTCCTATCCGTAGGAACTCAAATTATAAAATGTTATTGAAAACTTATGCATTTTCTCATTTATTAAAGGAATTTATTCATAGTTCTCATCGTAAGGATGATTGTGATGTCACCATTTCCACCCAAGATTGGCTAAATTGCCGCACACTTATGAAATTGTAAGAAAAATTTCAAGATGCTACTAACGTACTTTTTGATGTTTACTATCCTACTGGTCAACTTGTTGTAAGTCAATATGTAGCCGTAATGTGGAGTTTTAGAGATATTTTTACTAGTGATTCTAACTTACATGGCGGACTTGTAAGAGGTATGTTAAGAAAATGGTTAAAAATATTATTTTTTCATTCACGATACACTTTTAGTTGCATCATTATTAGATCCGTCATTACGTGAAAAAGGATTGTTCAACCAACTTCAGTCATATTATGATATTATGTATCAACTCCCACTTCCCAGATGTCCCAATTATCAGTGTAAGACCTAGCCCACGGCAGCTCGTCGTGCAAGAAAATCTTTTATGTATGAATTGTTTAGGAAAACAACAATCGAACTCGGGAAAAATCCGGCGTCCTTTTCTTCAACTGTTTGCGGGTCTTCTTCTTATGGACAATGGGGACATACGGCGTAACAAGCCCAAAACTTTGATGACTAGTGGGACGACTTTAATCCCTATAAAAATGTTAAATCCAAAGGGAAAAGGACACTGGATACAGTGAGCTCGATCACTACGTCACAACAAATTTGATACTTACGATGGCTCGTGAACCAGTTTCGCCACAACATTTCGACGTCTTGGATTGGTGGTCAAAGATGACTCCCATTTATTCAATTCCATGTTTGATGGCCAAGGAGAGTTGTTGTCCCGACTTCAACAGTGGTGGTTGAACAAACATTCAGCGAGGGAGGATATACATTGGACGCACGACGGTCGAAGTTGACGCAAAAAAATCTGGAGGCTCAAATGTTGCTGAGTGACTGAAAGAAGACCGAAATGAGGGCACAAAAGGCCATACTAACTGTCGAATATGATGAAGATGATAAAGCATCTGATTTTATTGTTCGTACTATTGGAACCGTCGGAAATGAAGAGAACTACGACACATACGACTACGAGGACTAGACAGTCGGTTCAATCATGCATCTACTTTTATCAAGTTAAGTACAAAAACTTCAAGGGGTCGTTTGCTTTGAAGGACTGGATTGGCTAAAATAATCCAGCTTACTTTACACGTCACTATCAGTCCCACGTTTACATTACGGGATTAAAATCTCTGAAATTTGTCAAGCATTTTCTTTTATGGACAAAATTATGGGATAAAACATAAAATGCCTAAGTTACCCCCCATAGCATAAACGATCGACTGAAACGCTCTAAAATCTCATTTGCCCTGCCATTTCAAAAATCGTTCGAACCCTAACCCTAACAATCCCAACCCAAAATCGGCGAGGAGAAGCACACAAAGACGGAGACGACCCGAACAATTGAACATTCTGCGGACGACTGTCTTTCGCCCGTCGACGACCTCATTCCTAGCACGACGAGGAACGAGCTATCACTTGAAGAGGGTTGTGGGTTGAGGGCTATCAAGCTTGTTCCGATGACATTCCGATGAGACAGACTGCAATTTGGAGGTGTGGGTTTGTACTAGCCTTAATTAGCGAAAACAAACAAAAAAAGGGAGATTAGACCTTACCTTGGCGACGGAATGACGAAGGTCTCCACCTCTCCCTCTGCAAATTCGATTTTGTTAAGTTAGGGCAAAGTTTGGTGAGGAATTTAATATTAAATGGTGGGTTTATGTAATTAAGTGGATGTGCAGGGGTGTTTAGGTCTTTTTACATGCATTTTATGAGGACAAAATGGGGGATGAACAGTGAGGGATAAAAAATTCCCTGGCTCTGGGCTGGACAAAATTATCGGGAAACTAATGATATAGTTGTGGGCCCCGCCGCCGCCACATGTGTGTCCACATCACTTAGTCCTGTCCCAATCACTAGATGTAAACGACGGATATGGTGTGACTATTTAAGTTATCAAATCCCGTCACCCGAAGTAGACAACACCGAGAACTAAAAGGACTTTGATTCTCGAAGTAAGGGATACGTAGACAACTTGACATAATACAAGATAAAATATCATTTTGTAACCCAAAAAATTCTCCAACTAAAATGATATTTTAACTTATAATATGTAAACTAAGTCCAAGTCTAATTTCTTTAACCCCTCCAACACCCCCCGTCCCCCTCTCCTCATTCTTTTTAAATAAAAACTAGCTCGGGCCGAAACTAAAATCGGTTGAACTGGCCCAGACCCGCTGGTTCGGTGAACTGGCTCGAAATTGTCGGTTCTGTGAGTCGACCCATACCAAAATCTGGGCCAATTCCAGTTCCTCCAAATTGCATCCCTGAATCGGAGGGTCCGACCCAGAACCAGCCTGGAACTGGGTTCGACCACCTCTATGCATAAAAAAATTAATTATAATATAAAATTAAATAGATTATTAACCAAAAGATGTGATTGTGTTGAAACTAATAAAAGTTGTGTGGTAATGTAAAAAATGAGTTAATATAACTACTATAGATATTCTAACACGTGTTTCTATTTTTTAATAATTTTTCATGTTAATAATAAAATACAGTATAATAAAAAATTAAACATATTGGTAAAGTTGTTGCCAGACAGACCTAATTATTAAGGGTGTGACTGGATATGAATTTGATTGGTTTTTTATTAACCATAGTTAAATCTGAAAAAATTATTATGATTAGTTGTTAGTGAAATTTAAGATTAAATTAAAATAATTAAAGTTGATTTGATGTAAAGTCTGAAAAAAAATGATTGGAAGTAATGATTGGTTAAAATTATGTGAGTTAATGAATAGTAAATTAAAATTGATATAATGTGTAAAAATGATTGATTGATATTATTTAATTATATTGGTAATAGTGAAATTAAATTAAAGTTGAGTTAAATTTAAATTTTAATTAATTTTTTTATTAGTCTAGTTTATATCCAATCACACTCTAAATATTCACACATTAACACCAAACTTTTAAAAATAGTTGATTTAGTGACTTTTTGTGATGTCAAAAGTAACAATAAAGATACACGCATTCAATCCTATCCCTTAGAATTACATACTAACACACACTTGCCCGCGGCTAAAATTCTCATGGCAGTGAAATTTACTCTAAACATCCTTGTCGTTGTCATTATTATTATCTCCCACGGAAAGTATAAATAAAAGTAGAAGAGGTAAAGGTACATTTGGATCCCAAAAACAAAAACAAACTTCAAAGACACATTTCGTTCTACTTATATTATTGCCACCAGAATTTTCCACTCCCAAAATTATATTTTCAACAGTCCTAAAAACTCACAATTAAGTCACAACTATTGAGAGAGATGGGCTGCCCTCAAAATTTCGTCTCCCGCCATAACCATCCTCACTTCACAATTTCTCTACTCATTCTACTGATTTCCTCATCCTCCCACTTCACATCAATATTCCATGTCGAAGGTATTCAATAACCAATCAAACTTGTTTAAAAATAATTCACACACAAATAGTTAAAGATTCATTTTATTTTTTTATTTTTTGCATTTTCAGGCAGAAAATTACAAGGGGCGTATGCAAGTTCAACGGTAAGAGTTGTTCAATGGTTCTATATATAGAATGTTTGCGTTTAATTTTCTCGGATTTATTATTTTCCTACAAATTATCTAATCTTTTTGTGATTTAGTAGAGAGTGGAAGTAGAGAATAGGATGTGGCGGGTTCAAATCGGGTCAAGCCCACCTCGGTGTGAACGGATATGTGGGTCTTGCAGTAGGCACTGTGAGGCTGTTCAAGTGCCCACCACAAACCCAAATATTAAGGCCCAAATCGAAAACTCAAGCTCCAGTGATGATAATAGCAATTACAAGCCCTTGAGCTGGAAATGTAAATGTGGGAATTTCATTTTCAACCCTTAGTGTATGTATGTATGTACTATTTTTTTTTTTTAATTTTAAATTATTGGTATTATTACTATTGCAAAACCTGTTAAATCTTGTGTATATAATATATATAATTATATATATATATATGTATTTTTTGGTTTTATTGTAGTAGAACTTTTGTCTGTTCTCTTCATCTTTTCTTTTGGGTTCTCTTTCCATTGTAATGATGGCTTTTTGCTTTTAAAAATCCTCTGTTTCCAGCCAACAAAAATAATAATAATAATAATAATTTTTTTTATTAATTAATTACTCTGTTACATCTTTGGCATTGCACATGTTTTGACTTTTGACATATTTTGAGATGGCCATCCAATATCACTCATTTTCAGTTTCAAATTCATTCAATGAAGTATAAAATATATTATTATCAAGTGATGTTTTGGTAGTGTACTTTAGATGTAAGTCTTTGAAGCATAAAATTAATCATCCCGTGGAAGGAAAAAAGAATTAATTTGAAGTACGAAAATTTGTTATACTTGTGACAACTGTGATGAACAAAATTCATTTATGGGAGTGCAGAGAACTATTAATGCAACCAACTCATGAAGGCAATCATATGCAACTGTTCTGATTTTCTGACTCTTTTTTTTTTTTTTTAAAATATTGTACAACATATATAATTATGATTTTGCATTGCACCCACTATCAATGACTCTTTTAGAATTGGAAAATCTGTTTGATTATTGAACAATCAATTTATTGAAGAATCTTGCTTAGCTTTAAGCATGTGTATCATTTGATTACAAAAGTAGTAAAAAGAGAAAAAGAAAATGAAGATTCTTTCTACTGATATTGTGATTGTAGTGTGATATTAGCAGACAGCAGCGTTACGAGGTAGGGTCTTTTCTTTTCATACAAATAGCTGTCCTTTCTGAATAGTATTTAAAGTGCGCACGCAACAAAAATAATCAATTTTCTTTTATTATTTCTTTTTATTTTTCATTGGTGGATCATCTTTAACTGTGGGTTTAGGAAAGATTTGGAGATGATGCAGTTTTTAACATAAGGTTTAACAGTGTTGTGTTTTTTTTTTTCTATGGAANTTTTTTCTACGGAACGATAGAGATATTATATAAAACGCACAAATGTGCAAAGAGCAGCCACCAGCTGATTACAAAACAGCCAACAGCTGAATACAAACAGCCAATAGCTAAAAAGTGGGAGGACAGGACAACAGCCCGCCTAGAACCGACCCCAACGGGGTAAAACTCAGGAGCACAAAAAAACACAATAAAAAACAACAACACAAACACAAAGGCCCCAACAGGGTAATACCGAGTGTCGGGCCCCAACAGGGTAATAAAGGTGACACTCGGCCGCACAGAGGCCAACGGCCCAGACCTAAAACACAAATGCAACACGAACACAGATACAAAAACACAAACACAGACAACACAATACAGACAGAACACAATCTAAAAAAACCAAAACTTCTAAAGACGACACATAGTGCCCTTCCCCAGCAAATAAAGCAGATTGAACCAGTAGAGAACCAATCAATCCAAGAAAGTTCCGAAGCCCGAGGCCCAACTTCCGAAACTGCTGTCGAACGCCTATACAAAAGCCAACCCGGACCACGAGACTAACCCGAATCAACCCACCTTCGACCGAGAGGACAACCAGCTCCCTGCGACAGCCCCGCACTAGCTCGCCTAACACCACTAGCCGAGCTAATAGGCGCCGGGCCCACCAAGTTCCCAACACCAGAGAACCAGATGGAAAGAGAGCTACCCGTACCTGCTACTCCCTCACCCGAACAAAATACGTCACGGCCGCCGGAGCCTCAAACCGCCCGCCAACCAACACGCCTCTCAACACCACCGCAGGCCGCTGCCATCGCGAGCTCGAGCCCCAAAATTCAAACCCAGAAGCCCAACCTGAACCGATGAACCTCCAAGCATCGACCCGCTGCAATTGAGTGGCTAACCATCCAATCAATGACCGCCGACTTCCAAGGAAACCACCCGCCTCAAATCGAACACCACCGCAGTCACAGCTTGCCGGCGACCTTGGGCAGAGCACACATCAGAGCGACCCTTAGCAGCAAAATCCAAAGAGGCGCGATGGCGGGGACGGCCGAGCGGTCTAGGGTGACCACTGACCTGAGCCGCCCTTTCGCCGGAGAAGGCTAATCGCAGCGAAATTGGATGACGGGAGCTAGGGTTTTCGTCGTGAAAGCAGAGAGAGTTATTTCCAAATTTTTTTTGAATTACAGTTGTGTTTGAATTTGGGAAATTTTCACCTTTACTACTCGTTTTTTAAATATTTGCACCTTTATCACTCCTACCAATTAAATTGTGTTTATACCTAAAAAATAAAAAGTAATTAAAGTCATGCCTAATATCAGTTACACGATATGGAACAAACTTTTCATGTTTCTAGCCCATAATTTCAGCTCTCAATCTTGGAAGGATATCAGTTAGATATCATATTTCAAACTTTCCATGTTTCATTATCACATCTCATATATAGTCGTAGTGTTGTTATGTACAATACTCATAGTTTTGATTATTTCATAAAATGTTGAACAGGTGAAAGTATATGTGCAGTATATTTTGGTATTTGTTCATGGAAATAAACTGCGTAGTTTTAATATATTTGGTTTATGTTCAGCAGTTGATTTTTATTGTGCAGCATAAGTATATTTTTAGTTTATGTTCAGTATATTTTATCGTTATGTTTAGTTTATACCACAACACAACATAAACGATAGAGGCGCGATCGATCTTTTTCTTAAGAAAAGTTATGCAAATATACCACAAAAATAAAATGACTGGTCGATTAAAATCAAGGTATATTTTTTCCATATCAATTTATTTCTTTATGCTTTTTTTAATTGATCTTAACGTTCAATGAAACGTACATGAATTTATTATCTTTCTTACGCAAAATATACCAAACATTACTCAAAATATACAGAACATATACTGATCATTACTAAAAAATATACCAAACATTACTCAAAAATATGCACAACATATTTTTTACTCAAAATATACCAAACATTACTCAAAATATACCAACAGAATTGGGGATATATACTGAACATATATCGAACATATACTGAAAATAGTTTCAGGCGTCGAAATTAATCCACATTACTCAAGCCTCAAAATTTTTATCCATCTTCATCTGCGCGGAAAAACTCCCAATTAAATCCACATCACTCAAGCCTTAATTGAACTCTCGCATAAAAAAATATCAGAATTAACATGAACCCGTCGGAAAGAGGAAAAAGGGAAAAGGCCGCTGCTCTTTCGGGTTCCCCTCACACATACGGGCTGCTCGAAAAGAAAACCGGCGAGGGGCCGACGAGGGCCGAAAGTGCCGCTGCTCCTGTTCCGACGGTCGCTCGAGGTGCTGGCCCGACTAATGGCTGGGGTCCGTTGAAAAGGAACCGACCGCTGCTGTTCGGCCATTGAACGAAGGCCGACGGAGAATGCTGCTGCTGAATGGGGTCTCGATGATGGTTTTTCCGGTTTCCGGACCGGATCGAGTAGAGAGAGGGACTTTTCGTCTTCGCCATTGAAGTAGTAAAGGGAAACCGATGAGATGAGATTTTTTTGCGGTGAATGTGGGGTGGTGGGTGCTTTTTTGTTGGAGAGATATTATCTTCACCGTAAAATCAGCAACTTCCTTAATTATCCCAATTAATTTAAACGGTTACCCTTAGGTATATCTGCAATATTTTAGGTTGATTTTAGTACAATTATAAATATTTCCCTAATAGGTGTATAATTATAATATATTTGGAATCTTGAAGTAGAGGGTAGAAATTCCTGTTTAATTTCACTTGGTGTTTTTACCATAAGATTTAACAGTTTTATGTTTGGAATTCTCACTTGTTAATGAGTAAAACCGAGCCGAACTGTGTAATTCGGTGGGATTTGGTTCGATTATTTTTTTAATATAAAATTTTTTGTTCAATTTTTTTTTTTGTTGGTTCGATTTTTTCCTACATTGCGGCACAGTTCGATTATTATTTTTCATAAGTTTAATCTTGCTTTTCCTCTGCACCGAATCGCTCCTAAATATAAATGTATACAAAATTGACGGAAAATCGAAAATCAAGTCAACCTGCTCTTTTTGGTTCAGTTCGATTTGGTTATTCTAGTGTAAAATTTGTGCAATTCGATTATCTTTTTAATATTTTTTTTTTTTCAATTTTTGCAATTTCTTGCGGTTTTACACGAACGACACCGTTACTCAACCCTCGCACTATATTGTTTTGTTCTAAAGAATTTGGTTATTCTGCATGTACATGGATACCTGTTGAACGGTTTAAGATCAACCCATGATTGGCGAATTCGTAGGTTCAATTCCTATTGTATGCATGCCAATGGAACCCTCGATAGTCTATTGCTCAAATGTATATGTTTGAAGCCAATAACATTTCTCTTGCAAGTCACACCGTGTGAACGAAAGTTTGACTGAACTTGCTCGTTTTTTGTTTTTTTTTTTTTTTTT